GACGCAAGGGACTTCGTGGTTCCTTCCTCCGTCGTGAGTCATCCATGTCGGCCATAGTGTGGTCTTCCGGCCGGCTTGGCTCTCCCGAACCCACTCGATTCGCAGCTCTAGAACGGTCGCTGGATCTCGTCGAAAATTTTCCCCTGTTTTTCTGAGAGAGTCTTATGCGTTCAAGGCTGTTGCGGGCGACAAATAGTGCTTGTATGACAAACGAGGATTCTAGGTCCCAGTCCACGTCACCTTCCAAGACCCGCTTGCCCGTACGAGTGCTGTGACCCCCCAATAACTCAGACGACAATGGGCAAATTGGCTGTTGCGGCGGTCACTTGTAGTGGCCATGTTACGACCTGCGCAGCCGGATGTCGGCTGATAACGACCTTGGCAAGACCACTGCAGTGCTCTGGGCGCCATGTGATTGATTGACACGTCGTTCCTGGGGCCTAGCGCCTGTTTGACACCACTCACGAACAGCTACGGTCGGGAAATCAGGGTGCATCCCGTGCATCAGGAATAGAGCATGCGACACGAGAGAGAGCTAGTAGATACCATGAAGACTGCCAGTGTGTCGCGTACCGATCTAACCTGGGCATGTAGCTGGCAAACGCCGTGTAGGAAACCCGGCCCTGGTTGCTCTACGTGCCCGAGCTCCCGGATGTTAAGTTAAGCCGCGCCGGGACCTGGGCTGAGTACCTGCGGGGTGACGTAGGTAAGTATCTGTAAAAGCACGGTAGGTAACCCAGAGCATTCCAGTGCCTGCCCCTCAGCTGCAGTCGACCCACCTCTAGGTATCTTGAACCCCTGATGGTGGGCTGGTGGGTTTGCCAGCCCCTCCACACCTATTACCCTGGTCACCATCACCTCCATTGTGCCTTGGCTGCTTGGAGCTTGGATGTCCCTCTCAAGCTACAACGCTTCCAATCGCCGTCTCCGTCCTGCAGCTGGACCCCTCCATCCCGCAGCTGCCATTTCTGCGTTTGAGCGAAAGAAAATTATTCGTTGGTCTGAGTACCGTGTCGGGACCTTACCTCGCCCCTCTCCGGGAGGCCGCCAGCTCCATCATCCATCGTGGCATCA